TTGTATAGTGTTATGTTGTTAGTTGTGTGTTTTTTGGTGTTTTTATGACTGTTGTTTTTAGGTATTAGAAGGTCTTTTTAGTGATTTAGTGTATTTTTTCACGTAGGTAGGTATGGTTAGTTTTTATAATATAATGAATTAGCGTTGTGTTTGTATACTTGAGTTGCTGATTATTTTTCTGTGATTAAGCTGTATACACTGGTGTTTCTAGGTTTCCATATTTGGCAGGTTTTCTATTTTATTTTTTTTTTTTATCACCTTTTTTTTATTGTTATATTTTTTTTTTTTTTTTTTGTTGTTTTATTTTTATATTTCTTTTTTTTGTTTTTACTAAACTAATATATTACAGTTACCAAGATATTCTTTATAACGAAATGTGGGAGTTACCAAGTTTATTATTGTGAATGTTCTCTTTTTCTTAATTCTTAGTTTTTTATCTTTCTTCTATTTACTATGTGTATTCTTTTTATTGTTATATTAAATTCTTTAATTTTTTTTTGATGACAAAGAGAATCTATATCACTTATAAAGAGAACATAATAGTCTCGACAAAGTATCCCGCTTTTTTGATTTTAATATTGCTATCTTTTTCTTATTCTTTCTTTTCGTTTTTTTTGTGTTTGTTTCTTATTTATTTTTGTTTTTTCTCACTTACCTTTATCCTAATTTTGGAGGGGCATTCAAAGTAGCAGTCGATAAAACCGCTTCTTCAAAAGCACAACCTCGATCCAAAGGGTTTAGCCAATTATAGACCTATTTCTAATCTTCCGTTCCTCTCAAAATTCTTGAGAAAGCGGTCGCAAAAGAGTTGTGTGATTACTTGAAAAACAATGATTTATTTGAAGATTTTCAGTCTGGCTTTAGAACACATCATAGCACAGAGACAGCTCTGGTTAAAGTCACAAATGACCTTCTAACCTCAGACAAGGGACTTGTCTCTATTCTTGTTTTGCTCGATCTCAGTGCTGCATTTGATACTATCGACCATGACACCCTATTGCAAAGACTAGAGCACTTAGTTGGCATACAGGGAACTGCTTTAGGCTGGTTTAGGTCCTATCTATCTGAACGCTCTCAGTTTGTACGTGTCAACGATGAATCTTCCATGCAAACCAAAGTTAGCCATGGAGTGCCACAGGGCTCAGTGCTTGAACCTATTTTGTTCACATTATATATGCTTCCGTTAGGCAATATTATAAGGAATCTCTCTGTACACTTTCATTGTTATGCGGATGATACTCAACTATATTTATCCATCAAGCCTGATAAAACCAATCATCTAAATACAATTCAAGACTGCCTCAAGGACTTAAAGATGTGGTGCCTTGATCCCTGCCGAGTCGACAGCACAACTGTTGATTGGTGTCAGTGCCAGAAAAACTTTTTAGGAGCAATGCACTCATGCTATAGATGTGGCTTATACATCTGAGTTCCTACCCTATCCTAAGGGAGTGCATGTACGTAGACACGTTGTGCCTCTCCACCTCTGTTCCTTACTTCTTACTTGCTACCCCTTTCCCTCAATCTATCCTAAAAACACGTTAGTTTTGCTGCTATAGGCTTAGACTGTTGGGGGACACCTTACTTCTTCCTTCTGTCTGTACACAAGTTCACAAGCGTCGAGCTCCTCACCCCCGCGTTGATAATTCACGATCGTCGGAACGCTAATAACACATTTTTTTTGTAATGGCACTCATATCAAAAAGGCTGCCGACCCCTGCCCTGGTAGGACAGTATAATTAGTTATTTAAGGTAAGATGGCGCCTGCCCATTAAGGGCTTTGTAGGCGAGAAGAAGAATTTTAAATTATATCCTGTGTTCTATAGGGAGCCAGTGTACGGCAGCCAGAACAGGATGTGGTCCCTTTTCCTAACTCTGGTTAGTACACGAGCTGCAGCATTTTGAATCAGCTGAAGCGACTTAACTGACTTCTTGGTACACCCTGATAATAGAGAGTTACAATAATCCAGCCTTGAAATAACAAATGCATGGACTACATGCATTTCCAAACATTTGGACTACCTATGTTGCAAATGTATCATCTTTTCGATTTACACACGGCATCTATTGCACGTCTGTCCGTCCTGGGAGAGGGATCCCTCCTCTGTTGCTCTCCCTGAGGTTTCTCCCATTTTTCCCTTTAAACTACGGGGTTTTCTCCGGAAGTTTTTCCTTGTACGATGTGAGGGTCTAAGGACAGAGGGTGTCGTATTGTCATACTGATATTCTGTACAAACTGTGAAGTCCACTGAGACAGATGTAACATTTGTGATATTGGGCTATATAAATAAACATTGATTGATTGATTGATTGATAGCGCCAAATACCCACACTTTACCAACTTCCACCCAATCTCCCTGGAAGAGAGCAGGAGATTGGAGCAAATTGTGGTGGTGGCCAAACAGTGGTACTACACTTCTGTTGTAATCCGTAATGTCATTTTAGCCAAAAAATACTTTTTCCCATTGACTTACATTGGTATTGAGAAGTTTTTAAATCTGCGTACACTTTTTTTTTTTAAAGCTAAATAACTAAATAAACCTTTTTATTTCTTATTTACATCATCAGGGTTTAAAACCTGAATCCAGAGCTATTTCCCAAACCATTCCTTTAACTGAGCCGAGAGCAGACATCGGAGGCGGGGCTTAAGCAAAACTCAAGTGTGCATGCTCTATGGACCCATGACCTCGGATGATCCGTGTACTTTTTGAATCTTTAGTGGCACCATGTTGGGCTTCATGCGCCACAGAGCAACTCCCATAGGAATGACCAGGGCCTCGTCTCTTACGCTGTATCCAGTTCTCTTTATACATCAATGTCTCCACCCAAGAAGGGAAATCGACCAAATCAACCCAAATCCTTAACCTTAACAATATTTTTGTTTGAATTCACTAAGGTTAACAACTTTTTTAGTTTAGTTTGACAGTAGTGAAGGTCAACTGACCAAGCATCTCAAACTGGTTATTAGAGTCAAGCCCATCCCCTAAAATGCACAGAACTAAGAAGAGACTACAAGATATCTTTAGGGAGAGTAGGGCATTGTTGTCAGCGCTTACCATATTCAACCACCTCATGTCTCATTCACATTTAAGGGGAACAATTTATTTAATAATAATAATTTTTTGTAACAACTTACAGCTGTCATCTTGGCAGGTTGCCTCTAAAATAAACTGCCTATCCTAGCTTTAGCAGTCTGTGTTATGACTGCATGACACAAAAACATGATTTGAGAGCAGCAGATAAAAGGTGTGTTACAAACAAAGGCTTACATGTAGACAGGGGGGATGGAATCGACTCGGGAAACATCTCCGCTCTGCCCGTCATGTCGTTAAATACCATCCGGCAAAGTCACTGTGGGCAAAACAAACAAAATAAAGAGCGAATGAAAAACAAACCAACCTGGCAGCGGCACAAAAAAACTTGTATCCATCTTCCTAAAGTGCCTCAGAGCCCCATGGGCCCCATTGGTGATGACAGCTTTCTCCCAAACATGAGTCTCACCTCACCTTCACCTGTAGAGTGTGGATAAAAGGTGAGCCCTCCTATGTGAGTAAGCCTCGTCTGTGTTTGTTTTGGTCTGCCTTGGGGGACAGATTTCACTGGTTGCCTACAATGAGCAGGCATGTTTTAGCAGGATTTAAAAGCGACACACACACACACACCCAGCCCCCGCCAACACATCCAAAACTTTTGTTTACCTCCTCTGAACTGCAGAAGTGACGACACAGGATTTTGGTGGGCGCTCGAGGGCCCAGTTGCATGTCTCTCAGAGATTATTCCTCCGAAGTCTAGAAATGTGTCGCCAGATTTTCCTCAACTGAACCCAAAGGTCAAGGGGCTGAATAAGGACATGCTCCCTCTGTGTTACTTTCAGCCAGTGGTCATTTTGGTTTTACACACGGTGGGAGTGTGTGTGTGTATGACTTTCCTTAAGTCACTTTTCTCTTTGGCGCCAGCCTGTTTTATACGTCCCTTTTTGCTTAAGCTGCTGCTTCAATGGCAAAGATCTGGAGCCTAGCCAGCAGCCGTCGAGGGCAACAAATTGGACCCGGGCCCGCTGAGCGGCTCCGAGCTCCCAGTCTGACAACTGCTTTGATTTAGGGCCATGGCAGAGTATACGCACCGCGTGCCTCTCTACCTGCACCTTCATCGCTGCCAAGCTGCCATGCTAACAACTTTGATCAGAGAGTCATATTAAAATGAGCTGCTTCAATGCCCTTTTCTTGGCATCTGTACACTTTTTTGGTCTTTCTTGGTCGTTTTCTGAGTAAGAAATGAAAACACAGACACACAAAAGATGCACCTACACTTTTCCTGTGAGAATTTCTCATTCACTAGTACTAGGCTCAAGAGCTCATGTACGCACAAATGTGGGCAATTATTTGTTTATTTAAACATCGGAAAACTGTGGAAGATAAAGCATCTTTACTTTTTATACTTTCAGGTGTACAATCATGTATTCTTTATACATGATAGAACACATCATCGCTGTTTATTATAAACTTTGAAGTCCTCTTGTCAAATATGATTGTTTTAAGTATATTTTCAAGTAACTTACACTGGGTTAAGGGAGAACGGGCCAAAATGAATTTGATTTTGAAACAATAAGAGGCCTCCTGCTCTCCTCTTTGCTCCTGAAATGACTTAGTTGGCGACATTAAGCTTTCCTCCTGTCTTGACGAAGAATCAGGTTTGGCTGAGTGCGGCTTAATGAAGCGCCCTGCATAACCTCACCTTTATCTTCTTCATCTCCCTCAGCGGCAGACACTATGGTACTAACGCCCAGACCTTTTTGGAGAATAAAAATTCATCATCTATTTAAATAAATTATTTTGTCCTCTTGCTATGCTGTCTGACAGCCTTTTAACGGTGAAACTCTGCTTTTTACCATAAAAAAAGAGCTATCTTAAATGAATCTATCTTTGTCACATCTGTCTGATATTTATCAAAGTATGTTCTTTCTCACAGCCTCTCTTTGTCTTTTCTTTATTCCTTTCCAGCCCCCAGTGGTTGCGACTCTCACTCCTTTACCCGTGGAGAGCCGTGGAGCCATGGCAACCATCACCAAGTCTGTCCTACAGGTCGACGACCCCGACAACCCAGCCGATGTTTTGGTCATGGTCCTTGAACCGCCCCGTCACGGCCGGCTGACACGTCTACACGGCGACCGGACGCTCAGCAGATTCAAGCTGGAGGAATTGTCACGGGAACAGATCCAGTACATCCACGACGGCTCCGAGGGGGCGGAGGACGGGATGGTGCTGCAGGTCAACGATGGACACAGCTACAGGAATATTCTCCTCCAAGTCCACATCAATCAGAAGGTAGGGAGGACAGAGGGGGAGGATGGGAGATTAATGGCTCAGGGGTGATGTTTTACTGTAACACAAGTCTACAGTCTGTTAGCCAAGACAGACTCCTTTAACGTTGTTCTGTTTCTTACATTTTCTCTTGGCCATGGTGGTCGAAAAACTATTTTTTTTAAAGTTCAATTGTTGCCTCCAAAGCTTAAACTCGGCACACAAAGATAATAAAAACACGAAAAAATGTATTTTTTAAGCCTCTGAGTTTAATTTAGAGTCATCCCACTGCTCACTGGCTCCATGCAAGCATCTCTGGAGAGGAACAAGACCTGCATCGATCCTCCTATCAATACTGGATGACATTTCTCTGTGTTTCACAACTCAGCCAAATGATTGTGTTGCAGCTCAAAGATCCAGCATCCCTTATACCAACTATAGTTTTCAGACTGAAACGAAAAGGGCCCAAACAGATCAGCTTGTGGGATGAGCCGAAGTGCAGAAGTTCACAACAGATGTATTAAAAAGTGAGACTTACGGGAAGGGAAACTGCTGACTACACGTGAAAATAGAAACAAATAAGTTGTGCTTTTTATCTGTGGTTCTTTCTACAGATTAAGTGTCTATTTTACATGATTTTAGGGACAGCATAATTGGAATTTATTTTGGCATTTCAACATATTCTGAGCTCTCCCCGGCAGCAGAGAAAACTTGTGCTGAAGCGAACTTCATTTTCAAGCTGTAATTGTATGAATACAGGTTTGACTCATTGAAATAAACTTGACGACTTACTTCTGTATCTTTCCTCAAATTCAATAGATAGGAAGAGAAAGACGTTTAAAGTTGAGTAGTCACATTCAAGGTAGCTGAATTAGTGTCAAAAGAAAACTGATTTCTAAAAGCGATTCATTCACCTTGCTACAGAGACATCTTTAACATCCACTATATTCCTCTACACTCTTCTAATTGTCTCAACTTGAGCATTTATCACACGGATATGCTTGACAGTTTCCAGTTTCCACACAGTGTTCTTTGTTGACTTTATCCGTAAAAGTCGTTTGCTGGAGGCACAGGCTGATCCCCTCATGTTTAAGCACCGTATCAGAAAGAACAGGTCAGGCCTTTGAAATGGTAGCCGCTATCCCTCTTCTGTCATCGTTCATGTCTTCTGCTGAGGTTTTTCTGACAAGGATGCAATTATCTTGCAACAGGCACTGGCCACCGTGACCGGAGGGGGGGGGGATGTTTGGCATGAGACACATTTGGCAGCATACATTGCACTGGAGACAAGGAAGGACCTGCTTTCAATTTTGAATATGTCTAGACAGACAAGCATCAGAGACATACATGTGTGTAAGTTTGTGACTCAGTCTTTGTGGGGACCTAGGAGTAAGTTAAGTCTGAAAAAGGAAGGACACTTTGTCAAGGTTTTTTAGCTGCGTTTATATTCAAGGTCAGACCAGGTCCCTACATGACATTTTAATAAGAAGTTAAATACAAGTCATAATACATATTGTATCTCATTCAGTCCTCAAAACATGCTGAACCTGTAATGTTCTTACAGTACAAGGTCTCACATGTGTGTAAGTGTACAAACAAACACAGATAGTATTCCAAAGAAGTTCTCTCCTGCGTTCCGTCCCAGCAGTTTTCCAGCACATTCGTTTAGATGTTTATACACTGTTGCCCATAAAGTTGGAATCCATTTTGTTTTCAGACACATTCCTCTTTTTATTCCTATTTGATTTTCACTGTGGTATCTTTGAAAGAGAATGATCAACGAAGTTTTGAGAAGATATACACTTTAACTGTCAAGAATAAATCACATTGTGCCAATCATTTCACGAGAAGAGGTACAAAAATACTTTATTCCAGCTTTATGGGCAACAGTGTATGTGTGTTTATGCGTTCAAACTCAGTCTTGGTGGGGACCTAGGAGAAGGGACCGTTTGAAAAGTGAGGACACTTTATCGAGTCTTTTTAGCCGCGTTTACACACAAGATCAGACCAGTTCCCTGTATTATAATGTCTCAAAATATGCTGAACAAAAAAGGTTCTGTTCTTAGAGTAGGTGTTTCCAAGTAGTCAAATATTTGTTTGTGTTGTGACTTGTGTATTGACAGTTTTAAATCAGGTCTCACGTCTAAAGTGTACAAAGAAATATGGATATTATTCCAATGTTTTTTTTCTCTGCGTTCCTTGACCAAGATGGTTTAAAGCACATTGGTTTAAATTTCATAGAATTGAAATAGAAGCCAAACAACATCCAACCTCGTTGTGTGCCAGTTATACTTTTGCCAGAGAAACTTTTCAGTGATATATTTCCTTTGGTTTTGGAGGGCATCTTTGTTTGTATGGCTGCATACAGATGGTTTGCTTCGGGCTCAACTCCTCTGCTTTACCCTTCTGTAAATCAATAACATCCCACTCACAGACACACCAGTGTCCAGTTACGGAAACATTTCCTGATGCTGCATTCTGTCCTGCTTTGGACAGAGCAGGATGGACAGCATGATGGAACGCCGAAAGAATTATTTTTAATTATGTCGGAAGCTTTTTGGACAAGTCCCAGCAGTGTTCTCAATGCGTCTGGAAGCCACCCGCCTGATTTACGCAGGTAGATGGCTAAAGAATAGAGGTCGTTAAGGAAATAAAGTGGTGGGGAGCAGTTACTGCAGTGATATTGTCTGCTGGCAGCACCATAGAAAACAAAAACCTTTCACTGGTGTGAAGCTGTCCAGTTAAAGATATTCTGCTTTTTGGGGTTTCGCTTTCCTGTAGTGTGTTATTTAGGTATTTGTATATGTATATGGCCTGCAAAGGCTATAATCCCAATATAATTCCCGCTAGAGGGAATTTCTCTCCCTGCCTGAAAAGCCTCAATAAAACCAGTGGACTCTGGATTTATCTGATGTTAAGAGTACTGTTATGGAATTGTCTTCATGTAAGCACATATTTCATAAGATAATGCCTCATGCTAATTTAAACTTGCAATTGCATATATTTTTTTCAATATTACTATTAAACTGGGGAATTTTTATAGTGAAATCCATTGGCTTATCTTTTTTCTTTTTCTTTAGTGACTCCCCCCTTAAAACAAGAAAAGTAGAAAATGTATTCTGCTGTTGGATCATTTGAAAGTCAGTAGCACATCTGCATTTCCTTGCATGTTTTTAGCTTCCATTCATTAACTGCACTGTGTTGTACAAATGAACATACTATGTGCAGCTAAGTAACATCACCTCACAAGATTTTTGATATTCAAGTTCAGATTGAAGTTCCACCCCTAGCTGTTTTGGGTAACTGACAACATGCCAAGTCATCTAAAATAGCTGTAACACTGCCACTGCTCAGGAAGCAGTGCGGCTGCTGAGGAAGCCACTTTTAAAAGTCAATGGGAATAATATGCAAAACCATTCATCACCAAACTGTAGGGAAGTTGCATGGATTCGATTAGAACAATGGAAGAACATAAAAATTGACACAGTACAAACCAAAATTGTACTTAACGTTCAACAAAGACTTTATGAACCTTGGCTTCAAAAAAGCGAACATTAATAAAAGCCCCTGTGCCCTCATATTGGCTGTTTCTGAGTACCAGCGTCTTTTAGATTTTTCCAATGAGGAGATAGCTCCTACCGTCGCATGAGAAAAAACACTTCACCAAACGTCTTTTTTTTCTGAGTGCTCTGCAATTTCTGTGTGAAAATATCTAAACTTTTCGAAAAAAGCACCATTAATGTCACGGTAGAAATTGGAGAAAAAGCCTGTTTTTGGCATGTTTTTCAGACTATCATAACAAAGACCAAAAAGCCAATTTGTTTGAGCAGATCGACCGGGCAAACACTGGATGCTGCTGCCGGTGTGTGTTCAACTTTTATTGTCCTCCCTTTTCATCGGCTGTCAAACTGAGTGGTGAAGCTCATCCATACAAAGTAGAGAGGAAGTATCTTCTGGTTTAGGGAACTTAGTGAAAAAACATTGTTGTACAAATATTGAATAGCACAAATAAACCATAAAAGGCAAGGGGGCATGTATGTCATACAAAAGAGGTGGTCAAGATATCTTTGTAAGGAACGCTGAGTGTAGGCTGTAGCTTTCGGAGCTTGGCACTCATTGTCCTTCCAAGCCCACCATCCAGGCTGTAGCAGCGGCGCTCAGTGCGAGGCTGTTTCTGGGACAATAGGCCTTGTGAAAGTGGGATTACTAAGCTCTAAAGCAGGAGGCTAATCAGACCCTTAATGACCCTCTGATGGATGGACTCACTCTCTCCTGAGCCCTGAGCCCTGAGCGGAGCTGCTGCTTGCCGGAATAGGAAGCAGGACCCTTGGCTTTCAATTACTGTCACAGGGAGAACACTTTGAGCCTCTGAAAGACCCTCGGGCTCTTCTGTTTCTCTGCAGCAATGGAAGGGAATTAGATATTTTTTTCTGATCATTCATCCAGCTTTGGTGGGCTAATGGCTCAGCTTTATTGTCAAAGATCGTTTAGGTCTTCTCCTGCTGAGCGCTTGGAGAATATGAAAATTATTTTTGGAAGATTCCTCTTTTTGGAAGATTCCTCTTTTTGGCGATACTGCACATCCAAAGCCTGTGATTACATTTTTCGATTGCTGTGATTTGTTTCTGTCAAGCTGGCGGTCACAGAGCCCTGATGTTTACTTTTGCTGCGTGGTCTGATTTCAAGACACCACAGCGGCATGTTTCATTTAGATTAAATTATAATATGTTATAAAGGTTAAATCTCCATTCTGTGACTTTCAACGGTTTGACGTGTCCATCACCCCTCGCCTCCTGGAATTATGGATTATGAGAGATGACAATGCCACTGTCATTACAAAAGCATGACCATTCTGGCCGGCTGCGAGCCAATGTTCTATGGATGGCGCCGACTCTTTATCTCGACAAAGTCATTTATTTCTGTTTTCGTGGACTGCAGCCAAAACCTCTCCATCCAGTACAACTCTATTTACAGTCCATCTCAGGCCTGCTGGCTCAAAGCCCTTCAAAGGTCTCTGATTATGCAATTTTCATGCATTTGTTCCCAAATTTGCTGCGGCCAAGGAGAGACTAATGTTGTTTAGGTGGTTTTTCCATGAAATACTTTTGGCCAACATAAGGGTGTGAACTTTTTGCATGCTGCATGGGCTAATGGCCTTCAATTATCCCAACCCCCTCACCTCCTGCCTATATTTAACACTAATAGATCATCAATTGATATCATTTTTATATATGTTATTGATTCTCTAAAAGTTGACTGCAATCTGATACATTTGCCATTTAGCTTGTTGGGGGTTTCCCTTTCCTGTAGTGTGCTATATAAGGTTTGGTGCATGTAAAATTTGTTTATGGAGTTTAAAAAATATATCCTTAGGAACGTGATATTGCATTTTTCTTTTTGCATGTATTGTTTATAACCCCCATATTAATTTGACAGCTTTTTAATTACCACATTTTTCTATTTTCTTAACTGAGAAAGCACCTTATCTGCGCTTATCTCTCAACAATCTGAAATTAAATCCTCCAAATTCCCTCTCAGAGGGAAAAATTACCAAGTGGAGTTGCAGCTGCAGGACAAAGAGCCAGAGGTCTGGGGAAATCAGGAGGATTGGCACATTTGTAAATCCTAAATGCTGTTTCTGGGTTTCTGAGAGCCCTTTAGAGACTTTGGTGTTCATCGGGAGAGGCTGATAATCTCCTTGATGATGTGGTCCTCTGAGTTAAAAGCCTGCCTTGCTGACTTGTGTGTTTCCTCTGCTTCTCGTCTGGAATGATTTTCCTGCTGCTACACTGAAATAGTGTGATATCGGATGAGCCACACGGCAGGCAGAAGAGCCACAGATGGCCGGCAGGTTGTTATCTGCAAACACAGACAGCCACACACGCACACACTCAAACTCTCACACACCTGGACACACTCTTGTAATCTATTATCACCCACTGCCACAGTGTTTCTGGCATTGCACTGATCTCCTGCAGAAAATAGCAAATGAACACGTTTTGGGTTAGTAGCCCATTTTCTGCTTCTTAATGCGAAAACAATCATTAATTTAATATCCACTTAGTTTCTAATAAGCCAACAAGTCTGCATTGATTCAAGTTATTGTTAATTTAATTATTTTGGTCTTACAATATGACAACCCAAAATGTGTTATTATTTAAGTTATAAACGAGCACTTTGCTCTGCATCGGCCAATTGGTTTGCCTTCAGACCCAGGTACCCCTAAACTAAAACCTGTTTGCTATCCTTGCCCCAAAATGGCTGAACGAGCTCCCAGTTGATATCAGGACAGCAGAGAGTCTATACATCCTCCGTCGCAGGCTGGAAACTCACCTGTTTGGACTTAACCTTGGCCAAACAGGTTTGTAAGTGCTCTTGTGTACGTAGCACTTACAAACGTTTGGCATTAAGGGAAGCTAATGCTTTGGCACTTAATCTAGTTGGGCTGATAGATAGAAAATGTACCTACAGGATTCTTGCTTTTCAGCAAAAAGCGTCAGCTAAGTTAAATGTAATATAATGTAATGTAAATCCTATTAGAAAGTGGTACCAAAGTGTTTTTCAATAGGCAAACGTTGCCTTAAACATGTCAGCTCTAATGGTAGTTGTATAGAAGTCTATGAGAAAATGACACCACTTCTCACTTGATTAATTACCTCAGTGATAGTTTTCGTAATGACTTAATGGTCTTAACTGCTTGTTTTAAGTCTTGTTCAATACAGCATGTACATTTTAATGTTGGTCCTATTCTGTTTAAAATGTAGGATTTTGTGTGCAGTGTATGCATTAAGGTGGGGCTACCCTCTGATTGACTGTTTGTTGGTCCATGATTTTTCGTAGATGTTGAACCCATTCATAGTGTGTTTTCAGTTCTGGAGGGTTAATTGGAATATTTGTGTCATGTTTAGTTGTACTTAGCTCCACCCTGTGATGTTGATTTTGATCCCTGAAAAACAAAGCTGCGTCTGTAAATGTACCAAATTCTGTAGCTACAGTAGCAGTAGTCCCAAACCAATGAGGGACGCCATGGTGGCCACTTCCACTTTTTATATTTGGAGTGTACAGTATATAATGAATTTAAATGCTATTGTTGTATACATGTGTACAGGGACCTTTAATTTAGTCCACATGTATCCTGTTGAGTAAGGGAAAGTCACATCACCTGTCAGCTAATGATGATTTTGTTGTGCATATCCAAAATGTTGGTAAAATAGGATCATTGTTTTCCAGTGTTTTCTTACTGTATAAGATTTTCCCAGGCAGTATCCAGTAAACTATTTTTGACACAGAGATGTAAGTGTGGAGCTAATGTTTACAGAATAAATAGCTGGTTGTGTTTTTCCATGCCCCAGAAGTGTGTCCTACCTGTTTGTATTCAAGCAGCAGGGTGACACAGTGAGTAAGAGAGTAGGAGGTCTAGTATCAAACCTTCCCTGACGGCAGGCATCTTCCCTGCTGATCAGTCCTCCAGCGACACTGAATCATCCACAGCTCCGTGAGTTTGCTGGGGAGGATCCTGCTCTTTGTTCTCTGCTTCGGAGGAGGGCGAGCAAAACGATGAGTTACTCTGTCTCAGGTCAATACAGCATCACCAAAACAAGTCAGATTCCAAAGTTGTGGTCTCAGACAGAGAAAGCACAGATTGATATATTACTTCCGATTGGTGGAGCTGACTCCAGGCTTAGCGCTCAGGTACGCTGCCTCTGATTGACAGGGCTTTACGACAGGCTCCTGGGACTCACAATCCTGAGGTTACAACAGATGTGGAATCAAACAAGCTGCACAAACTGTGACAAAACAAAGTGAAAGTGGCATCCGGCTGCACCCGAGGAACAAGGAGTCTGCTTTGATTTCTCTATATACCACATGGGGTTTCTCAGTATGAGTAATACTCAAACATATTGTTCAGTTCACTATGTTTGAGACTAAATTTAGATGAATAACCCTTGATTGTGTTACTGCACCTGCGGCTAATTCATGCTAACGTCATTGGCATCTGTTAAGCTCTTTGCTAGGGAAAAAAATGGCAAGCTGGAGAGGATATGTTTTAATTTCAAATGCTAACAAATCATCCTGTCAAAGTTTTCTTGTGGACTTTGTAGAACTGGCTGTATCAAAATGGAGGCCGACCACAATGTTAAACGTTTTCAAATTCATATTTGTGTGTTTCAGGCTGCTGACGCTCCACAAGTGATGTCCGTGCCAATGACCTGGGTAAAGGAAGGAGGCATGGTGCGCCTGGATAAAAAATACCTGCAGACTGACTACAAGGGAGTCAGCAGCGAAGACATCGTGTACACCATCGTCGTCTCAGACGGACAGCCTAAATATGGTACACCCTTTTTCACAAACATGTTATGCTTTCTCAAAAGATTCACATATTTAGAGATCTGCAAGATTGCATAATCTTCATCTTGGCTTCAGTTTGGTTGCAGTTTTTTTTCCTGCTTTTAAAAAACTATATTGTTGGGTTATCTTTTAACTGATATCAGGACATTTAAAAACATCCTCTTGGACTTTGAGAAACTGCGATGTTCGCTATTTTCTGTCATTTCATAGACCATACACCTAATCTAGAAAAATTATCAAAATATTTATCAATTATGATAATATTTGTTAGAGGCAGCCCTAGTTATTAGCCAATATAGAAGCCCAAAAAAACACAGCCATGTTTAATTTTTTTTTTAAAGCACTCCTGTCCTTGATCCTGGTTAGTTATCATCTGGACATTTGTTGACATTAAGTGAGAGAAACAGCTCAACCTTCCCCCTTTCTCTGTCTCAGGTGAGGTGGTGTTGGTATCCATGCCAGCTGATGGCCCCTCAGAAGGCTGGCGCCCGTTGCTAAGCGATGACCGAGGCTTCACGGCCACCACCTCCTTCACTCAGCAGGATGTAAACGATGGCACAGTCTGGTACCGCCACTTCGGCAGTGATTCAAATAGCGACTCCTTCCTGTTCCAGGTCAGTGCTGACTCGCATGATTTAATAAGTTCATTTTTTCTGAATTGTTTTTTGTGCTGTAATTGTAAGTTATTCAGGCTCACAAGAATACAGAGTGTTCAATAGCATATTTTATTATTTTCTTGTGATTTAGAAATGTAGTTGTGATCTCAGTTAAGTGCAACAGCAACGATCATGGACCATCAAAAGAAAACAACATTCACAAGCACATGCGGTTAGATGTTCACTACTCATTTAATCTATTTATTTAAGATGTTTTTTTGGGCCACCACTGCTTTTTTATTGAAGAGACAGAGTTGAAGGGTGGAGGTAAATGGTCCTGAGCCGGATTCTAAACCAGGTTCTCCAAGCAAAATAATTACCAAGTCTTGAAGCGGCCCTACTATGCTCTTTGGGTTTTCCCTTTCCTTATCGTTATATAGATTTGTGTGCATGTAAATGGTCTGCAAAGGCTTGAATCTCAAAGTTTCTCCAGAGGGAGTTTCTCTCCCACACTCGCTCCCCTGCCTGAAACGCCTGAACTGCCTGAAATTGGACTCATTTGTTTATCTTCGTAACATGGTGACATCACTATGTTACACTTTCGCTTGTATAGGCTAGTGCTCCAACACATTGTATGTGATAGGCTGAGGGGCGGGACATCTCTAAGCGGTTGAGCAATCATAACAGAGCTGGCCAGCTAACCAATCCGAGCAGACTGCGCTCTGGTTTCAGACAGAGGGTGAAAAGAGGTGCTGCAGCACAGGCAGTATGAGAAAAATAAAGACCTTTGCAAAGTGTCCTTTAGTGTGATGGCAATAATAAATACTACCCGCTTTGTTGTTATAATTGACGTATTATAATTCATAATTCTAAATTCTCAGAATGAAATGATTTCAAAAGAAAGACAAATGTTAAAGAGAAAGTTACAAATTGCTAATTGAAATATTAGCTTCATTTGTTTGACTTTTAAACTAATGGATAAAGGCACCAGCTGAATCTTGAGTTCACCTGCAGTACAGTAGGCCATTATATAAAGTAGTTTGTACACTATCGGGATAAACACATGACAAGGTTGTTTTTTATCCTTCATTTGGGTGCGTAGTACTGTACGTATACAGGTTGGGATAAATCCTCCGTGGGACGAGGAAACCTCAGGAGACCATTAAAAGAACGTCTCACTCTGAAAGAAAAGGGGGGAGATGGTGACACAGATGCGTTTCGTCGCTCCTGCTGTTTTCTCTCTCTCCGCAGTGTTATTTGAAGTTCACGCTGTTACTCGTGTTCCCATGTTCCCCTTTGTTTACCTCTCCTCCATCTCCAGCACGTCTCCTCCTGGCTTGATTTATTTCTTCCTCCCTTCTCCTCCTCTTGTCTCTCCTTTTCACCTCTATCTGCCTCCACTTTTATTTGTATTATTACCATGAAATTGTATCTATGCGGTTTATAGGAACCCTCTAAAATATGTTCTCTGTTTTGTAATACACAACTAGTCGCTGCTCGCCGCTGAGAAGTTATTTTATTAGGGACCACATTGTGTGTTTCCTTTGCATCCTTACTTCTTTTCTTTTCTGCAGTGGATTTGTTCTTCCTTAGTTCAGGCTTGGCTACAAACTTAATGTCTGACTCTTAGGCACTTCAAAGCGACTTATCTTGATTAGCACTAATGACCCCAAATTACTCGCAAATTGGCTCCCGATCCGATACAATCCCAGTTAAACCGATGCAGCATTCATCACGGCGCAGTTAGAGCGTTTTCATGCCACTCTTCACCTCCGCCGCATTAGAAAAACAAAAGAGGCAGCCAAGAGCTTGCAGCGACATCTAATCATCTCTCTCCCTCCGTCCAGCCACCCACATTTTGGCTCCATCCATCAGGGCAAATGTGTTTCAATTACACAGTGCTGGATTCGGATAAAATCCTCAAGTGTCTCATCATTTTGACAGGAAGTAAGAATGCAGAGGGGGGAGAGAAGAGGCTGAAGGCCCGGCCACAAACTGGAAGCGTTTGTGCTGTTGTCAGACGTGGTGATTATACTTGACAGTTTGTCAGGGTGGTATTATTGTGCTCCTAAGTTTTTGGTCAAAGTGCTTGTCGCCTTGAAATGATTGATTTAAAAAAATATCTGCTCCTGCAACTTGGAGCTAAACAAAAGTGGGCCGGACAGCACTCCTTATGTTTTCGCACACATCGCATACATCTTTATTTGAAGCAGTGAGATGGTAGTTTGATCTTAGAGTGAAAATATGTTCCTTTTATTGAAAATGTATTTTTTTGGGGAACCAGTGCCTTTGTTGAAAGGAGTAGACAGATGGGATGACATGCGGCAAATACGGAAACCTATGAGTTCTAGTATCGTCCAATGTGAAAGCCCGGTATACCCTAACACCTTAGCAGCAGCAGAAACTCAAACAGGAACATTCCTGTTGTGCCACTATGAAGTTGAGAAAAGTTTACAAAAAATGCAGCTTACTTTGCAGCTATCAGAAAATAGGATCCGTACACTGTATTAAGAGCTTGTAGATATTTTAATCCTGCAATTTTTCCAAAAAGATCTTCAGCTAGCAATGTCAACACCCTGTCCTATTATTAGTATATATTGACTAGTGACTAGCGGCCCATTCATTTTAATCTTTTTTCCTCACACTTGACCTGTTTCTATCATCTGCCTCATGGACTGAAAATATGCTAGAAAGAAAAAAGGGACTTCTATATTAAAGAGCCTCATGGTATATACACTAATTAACAAAGGATTTCTTCCCTGTCCCCTCGTAAAAAGGGGCATTTTTCACTCAGTTTCAAACGTATTGGGGTGTTTGCAGTGTCAAATCTTTAGTGTTTTGTGAATCCGACCTTGATGCACGAATCAGAGCGCTGTCTGTGGCCACAATCCGTTATTATTCAATTTAGTATTTAAAGCTGCAGGTCTCCAGATGGAAACAAAAGGAAACTGTTGCAAAATGAAGTCAACTGCACTCATTTGACCTGATGACAGTAAACTACAAACAACAGCCACATCTTTATTTGGTAAACAGAGCCTCATAATCCCTGAAAATGAATGCTATTTTAACTGTTGTGATTTCAAAGAGATCCATGTATACTCCCATTTGCCGTGTACCTTTATTCATACATTTTCTTTTATTATTATAAGTTATTAATTTTGATTTCGGACAGCTTTACCCCGCACAGTTACCTGTACTTTCCATAAAGTGGCAGTCCAAAGGGGGAACATGCACCTGTTTTAAGAAAAAACAAAACATCCTGAGATAAATTGAAAGAAAAATACCCACAATTCCCTGATTTAAGATGTGACACATTTCATTTGTGTTGGTCAGGGTGATTTGTTGCATTAGGGTGTATATAACGTATTATACGTACGTGATTTTATGTTGAATTGAATCAACCAAATAATCCATAATGTATCTGCCATGCCACCTCCTATAAATCTAGCTGACTCAGTACTGACTTTGATGGTAACACCATTACTCGTGCTCGATGGCGCTGACTCCAGGCTTCACACGCTCGTTACATTACTTCTGAGTGACAGAGCTGACTCCAAGTTCTCGAACTCAAATGCCAACAAATGCCACTGATGTGACAGGAACAAGCAGCCGCAGCGGAATTAGGAAATGAGGACAGAAATGGTCTTTAAGAAGGAACAAGCAAGGCTGCAGCTGTTGCTCGTATACAGCAAATCAGTTCGAAAAAGCAGTTATATATTGTGGACAGCTTGAGTAAGAGAAATATAGCACCAGTTTAAGATAAAAGTTACATTAAAACGGACTACTTTAAGAAGCGTGAGCAGAAAGCAGTAGAGCCAAATATCAAAGTGTAGTTTGAATCTAGTCATTTAGGCGGAGGGGATTACACAAATCCAAAAGATTCTGCCTCACTAATCAGTTATTAAATTAACATAATCTTACATTCTAATTTAAATCATCAGCTGCATTATAAGCAAGGAAAAGAGCAAAGGTCATGACCTCAGCACAGTGCTGGAAAGGAAACACTGTTGAAGAGCAGGAAGACGAAAAAGAGAAAGAGAAAAGGGGCTCTATACAGTATACTGTATATTAGGGCTGCTCGATTATGACAAAAATCATAATCTCGATTATTTGGGTCAATAATTGAAATGACTATTATTCATTATCCAAGGATTATCCATTTACTTTGAAAACATCCATTTATTGAAAAACAGTTGATTATCCTGAACTTTAAGTATAATTCAACTGAAAAACCAATAAAAAAAAATAAAAAAGATAATCGTTTTATTTTGATTATGTTGTTTTCATAATCGTTGCAAGCCAAAATCCTAATTGCGATTGAAATATGATTAATTGAGCAGCCCTACTGTATATACCTTAATAATTAAGTGAAAATGTTAATGTTACACCTGACAACAAAAAGGGAGAATCAAACATTTACTTACCACTTAACTTGGATTTTTTCCCCTCTGTCGACGTGTTGAAAACCTCTTATATTAAATATAAAGGGGCCCTATTATGCTCATTTATCAGGTTCATTTGTGTATGTTGTGCTTCCAATGTGACATGTCTCCATGCTTTAATGTTCAAAAAGCTCTTTATTTTTCTCATACAGCCTGTGCTGCAGCACCTCTTTTCACCCTCTGTCTGAAACCAGAGCCCAGTCTGCTCTGATTGGTTAGCTGGCCAACTCTGTTGTGATTGGTCAACCGCTTAGAGTTGTCCGGCCCCTTTGCCTATCATTTACAATGTGTTGGAGCGCTAGCCAATAGAAGCGCAAGTTTTAAATAGTGATGTCGCTATGTTCCAGAAGTAAATCAAGGAGTCCAATGGAGGCGTTTCAGGAAGTGTGTGGGACTTTAAATAAAAAAGTCCCACTGAATGCTGGGTATTCTTTTAAATTTACTGAAAGATCAGAATGGTTCAAGATGGTTAAATAACACCTTTATGCACCCTGTTGTATACTTTACATTTTCAAACAGATACTGAAAAGTAATCAGGGGCTAAGTAGTTGAGGTACGAGAGAATCTGCCTGGATACAGATAGCTACATATGCATGACAATGACATCATTATATCTCCTTTATTCATAAGTTTCTGTGTTTGTCCCTGCAGTGCAGCCTGATGAGTCCCATTTACACACTGTCACATGTTTTCATCACATCTGCTGTATCTCACTTTCTCGAGAACCTGTCATCAGCTCTTTCACTTTTAAATTGTTTATAATACCTGAGCCAGTTAACAGCCAAGAAAAACTTTCATTGAGATAATGTGCTTGCTAAAATACATCAAACTTCAACATAGGAGAAGTTCAGGAGAGTAGAGGTGAATCTAAAGTGTTTTCTCTAACATAAGGTGTGTGTTTGTGTGTGTGCAGGTTTCCACAGAGGCATCCCAGGTTATTCAGAGCGATGCTCAGACCTTTACCATAGGAGTCCTGCCTCAGAGCCCAGGATTCCCCCAGCTGGCCCCTGACTGCGATCTACAGGTCACGGTAAGGGACAAAAGTTTACCAAAAATCAGATAGGAGTTTGAAACAGTGTAATGTAACAGTACCATTACAGTGGGAGTGCATTGAGTCATAACTCAGCTATGAAAGCAGAGGTCTAGGGGAGAATATTGCAAGCACAAATTCAAGAGAACAACTTTTGGAGGGCCTTAATTTAATAAAAAGAGTTTGGGGACAAAAATGCATGATTGTGCATATGAACAAATACTGTATGTGGACACCACACTCACTTTTTCCTGTATTATATTAGCATAAATCCCATAAAGTTATGAAATAAAGAAACCATCATCATTACCTATCCATCAAAAGTCCACATTTCTATTTTACTGTCAAATATAATGAATACAATCTTAGCTGTCAGCTGCATACAGATCAAAAAGCTCTTAAGAATAATCAAGTATTAAGAATAATCCCCTTTTTTATCAAATAAAGACAATAGAAAATATCCCTATTGCCCCGTCAATGAGCTGCTGATATTGAGATGGTCAAGTGCGCATGTAACCAAGTCAAGGTGCATTGTGGGACATATTTATGGAGTGTATAGGGTCATGGAACTGTATGCATTATATTATTTGCAAGCTCTCGCGGGCCCAAACAAACATTGGGGCGGCCGGATTTGGCCTGCGGGCCTTGAGTTTGACATATCTGATGTCAAGTGTCTTTAACCCAGAAATAATGTCAGTATCCTGGGGGATACAGTCATATGACAGGCTGTGTCCATGTGTAAAATGGGTGTAATAACAGTGTTATTAGGGTGTATTATTGGTGTAACACGGGTCTAATATGGGTTTATTTACAGTGTACTATAGGTAAAATAACAGTGTAACATGGTTATAATAAGGGTGAAATATTGGGGTAACCTGGGTGTATGAATGCGTGATATGGGTGTAATAGCAGTGTAATATGGGTGAAATTTAGAAATTAGCAATCAATGTGTTTTCCAAGATATTTATATGTGACCTTAAAACGCCCTATACTGTATAAATGTATCATTACTTAAAAGCAATACATGGGCATCAGTTTAACATACATATTCTTTGTGAATTCTTAAACACATTAGAATTATCTTCCTTGTATATTATTATATTAATTTAATCTTGCATTTGCACTAGAGGCCAACCACTGCTTTAGAAATACTGTCCAATACAAAAACACATACTATGAGTACCTCAACAGAGCACACCTGTCAGTAATCATTTATGATGTGCAATAACTTTCTAGATATTTATTTTTAAAAGTTTGTATTACTAGTTCTCAAACCTGGGAATCCCAATATGCTCAATCTGGCTCATTGAAGTCAGACTGACCTTAGCTCACTTTATTTTAGACTCCCCTGGTTTCACCGTCCAGTAAGTCTGTTTCTATTTGGAACTGCACATGGATCCCTCAGCTATCACAATAATCATATGGGGTGTATCGCTGCAGGAAGATATAGTTGCCGTCTCATCTCAGAGTGTGTGTGTGTGTGTGTGTGTGTGTCTAGATCGGAAGAGCGGTTCAGCNTTGGAACTGCACATGGATCCCTCAGCTATCACAATAATCATATGGGGTGTATCGCTGCAGGAAGATATAGTTGCCGTCTCATCTCAGAGTGTGTGTGTGTGTGTGTGTGTGTGTGTGTGTGTGTGTGTGTGTGTGTGTGTGTGTGTGTGTGTGTGTGTGTGTGTGTGTGTGTGCAGGCGCTGGAGGATCGGGTAACAGAGATAACGCCTTCAGCTCTGTCCTTCGTGGACTCTGAGACTCCCAGCGAGAAGCTCATCTACAACATCACCAAACCCTTGCCACAAGGACAAGGTACACACACACACACACACACACACACACACACACACACACACACACACACACACACACACACACACACACACGCACACACGCACACACACACACACCTCGACTCTTATAATGTGAACAGCTCTAAAAGGATTAAAATCTAAGTTCTGTCAAGGGGCAGGCTCATTATAATTAACATTTAAGGGCTTCTGACCTTCTGACTATAATTCCTTGAGTTAATGTTTTATACTCTACCTTTTGTAACCCTTAAAATATGTTTTGTATCCTTAGGGATACAGTCATTTGACAGACTGTGTCCTTTTAAATGTGGTTGTGATAACAGTGTAATTAGGATTTAATATGGGTTTAATTGGGGTATATCAGTGTAATATGGGTGAAATATTGATGTTAGATGGGTGTAATATGGGTTTAATAACAGTGTCATATGGATGTCATGTAGACATAAAAGTTGATGATTTCAAATGATTGTATAAGTAATTAAGTAGAAGTTTATTGCCTTGCTCACATGTTTACACAGACTTGGTGTATCATTTCCAGCTCTCCGTCTAATGAAAGGAAAAAACGATTTACAATAGGTCGTATTCATCAACTAATGGGCTGATACATCTGGGAAGAATTTTTTTTTGAACAGAGCCATTGAGGGGGAGTAAAGAGTCAGATTAAGCAGCAGCCGTTTGTCATGAACGTTTTATTTTCTGAAATTAGATTGGAGACATTTGTTCTGAGTTAAAATCCCTCTCTAAAGCCTCTTTCAACTTTCCATCTACAGTTTTGTGTTATCCATCCAAAACAACGTTGGGTTTTTGGACTTTTCTCTATCTGTTGAGCAAAAAAAGATTATTTCTGCCCCTCAGAACACACTGTATTTATCTTTAAGATGCCTGTTTCCTGCTGTGTCTGCAGGTGCGATCGAGCATGTGGACAGGCCGAACACACCGGTGACACATTTCACTCAGGCGGACGTCAACGATGGCAAGATCCTCTACAGACCCCCTCCGGCCCCTTCACACCTGCAGGAGCTCTACCAGTACTCCTTCATTGGTGAGACACACACGCACAGTTAGAGTGAGGAGTGTGTGGGAGGGAAAGAACCCAAAAAAGCATAATAGGGCCCCTTTAGGAAAATAGATCAAATGAGTTGTTATGAAACTAAATAAGTTTAAAAAAAAGTCAATGTTAACTATGGTTTCACGCGTTAAACTGCTTGTTTGTTCGACAGAATAATCCTCTATTGGATGTAATGGTGAGGAAAATTCCCCAACAGGCTTTATACAAGAAAATATTTTTCATGATGACACTCAACACACCTAGTTTTATCCTTCTCATTAAATGGATGTGAAGTAGTCTTCTTTGATAGAGCCTTTGCTGCAGGGTCACAGGTTTCACCCTTTGCCAAAACAGATTCTAACAGTTTACCTTATGGCAATGGCTTCATTCCTTTACATATTTCCTTTATTAGGATCTCTACTCGGATATTCTTACACACAAACTTCTCTGCCTCGGTCTTGTTGGTCAACTACTCTTAATCTTAAAGTAATGTCCATTATCCTGCTCGTATTGTTACATAACACACTTATGAATATGAATAAATATATTTGTATCCGCTGAATGTGGATAGTGATAGCCTATGTGAAAATGAACTAAATTAGTTCAGAAAGTCTCATATTGCCCAAAATAAAAACACCTTGGTTCACCGTAGGATCTAGTTCATAAAAATAAAGCATCACAGAGTCTGTCAAATGAAAATCTGCATGCAGTCACATGTTTTTGTTCTGATTTATTAAACCACTCTGGATTTTTACATCCAATCAAACGTAATTAATCTGAACAGGCAGCAGTGGCAGGGTTTATTTTTAAACAGTTTTTAGCTGAGCAGCCACGTATTGGTCTGAGCAGTCTGCCGTTATCCACCACAAACACTTTCTGTGGAAACCAAATAAGAACTCCAGCTTAAAACACTGAATAGCTTTTCTAAATTCACCGCTTAAAACCTTCAGACCTCAGAGCATGTTATTTTCAAGTGATTAAGTATTCAAAGAGCGGCTGCAAGCTCTCAATTACTCATGATGGAATACTTCACCTACTCATGTCCTGCGTAATGGTACATCTCAAATTACTTAAGTGATTATTTGAGTCACTTTTGGCTCTAGAGCAGCGGTTTTCAAAGTTTGAGGCACGCCTCCCCGGGGGAGCACCAGAGAGCTTCAGGGGAGGCGCAGCGTGAGAAAAAAATAAAGAGAAACAGTGAAATCTAGCTAGTTAACTTCAGCTGACTTTATGCGAGCGGCAACATGGATCGATTTTTAGTGAAGTTACCTAAAGTGAGAGAAGTTTCCTCGCGATTGAGAAAATGGAGGAAGTATGACCACGATTATTTGAAGCTAGGATTTTCATGGACCGGTCCTGGCAGAGGCGGACTGGCCATCTGTGTGTTCTGGAGAATCACAGAACGGCCGGTCGTCAGCCGGTCGTCAGCGGGCCGTTGACGGCCGGCACCGCTCTTTATTTTAATTGTAATAATACTTACTTTGATCAAAAGCAAGTACGGGGCAAGGCTGCAGCCAGAGGATGATCTGCGTTTATTCCTGTCTACATTGCATCCCCGCATCATCCGCCTGTGCGCATCAAAGACGCAGACTCATTGTTCCCACTAAAGTAGGGGATGAGTGTAATAAGGAGGCAAAGTGTGTGTTGCCGGGAGCATATAAGGATTTATCCACGATGTTGAAAATGTTAAAAATGTTTTTAAAAAATGTTAAAAACATAAAGATAAAAAGGGTTTAAAAAAGTTATTGTTTAATGTTTTAAGGAGGTGACGCTACTCAGCCAATCAAATCGGTGCAGTCAGTGAGTCAGCACGATATCCAAACACACAGAGACGAGACGAGAGGAGAGAAACAGTCGGAGTCATTTCAAATGGCGTGCTCAAAAAAGAGAAAGGTAGACAGCGAAAACAGACATTTAATGACATGTTCTCTTACTGGACCTCTTTGAAATGCAATTGAATACCCCTACATTATAGCAACAACAACAACAACAACAACAATAATAATAATAATAGCAATGATAATTGGGAGGGGGTGGCGCGGCTGTTCTTATGTTCTCTGAGGGGAGGCTCACCTTCCCACACTTTGAAAACCCCTGCTCTAGAGGATTGTTGCCCATAACTTGGACCCACTGTATCAGCTCGTACTGCCCTCGCTGAGCACAGGTCTGCGACCTTGGGCTGCTGTGCTCTGTGTTTTCTCTCCTTATTCCTGCCTGTTGGCGTCAGCTGATAGAGGTTTTACAGTGCTCTGCCTGTTTTATCTTGTTCTGCACAATGTTGAATACTCTCTCTGAACCAGCTAAATGCATGGGACTTGGTGAGAGATCTTACGAGTTGGTTTGGGCCAGCCCTGTGTCACCTCCTGGCTCCAGCACATGTCTTTGTCAGTCCTCTGGCCGTAACTTTCATTCTTCAGTGTTTGCCATCAAGTTCCAGCTCTCCCGTGACTCATTGTGTTTCGACTCCATGCTCCAGAAGTTTCCATTACAAGGACAGCTTTTTAACATATTGCCTGCAATACAAACAACCAGAGACAATGTATCTTCGTTGTGTTTGTTAGCAGATGCTATCATGTGAGATATGGGAACATTTCAAGCGTAATGCACTTGCAACTTCAGTCCATACCATTTTTATTTCGCCCCTCAGTGTCGATCTCTCCGAAGGTCACTTGACTTTTAGAGAATTGTTTTTGTTAGTTGTTTACCTTTTTTTAATGGATGTTTGTCCGAACTGCACAGTATGAACATGTTCGTGAATTTAAAACACAAAGTTGTTTTTTTACATAAATAAAACACCTTCAATCTAACGGCAGTTCTTTTTAAATCAAAGGAAATTAAAAAACACAATTAAAAATATGAGTGGCAGCACAGCTTCTCTGGGACACAGAAAACTGCCCTTTTTACGTCAAATAAAATAATTATAAAAAATAACGATTTGAAATACATTTGGCTCAATTTATTTGATTCAATTCATATGAACTTAAACCGGCTTTGATCAGACGTTTAACAACAAACTTGTGTGATGAGTATGTTTTACTGTTAGAGGGTTCAAAATCATATCTTAGTTATTTTTATATTTCATATGCTTTTTAAAGATAACTCATAATCCAAGATCAAAGATGACTTTATTTTCTCTTCTCCAGAGGAAGGCTTTAGAGCAGTAAATCACCCACATTGCCTCCTGACTTTTATGCATTATAGCAACATCGTTCAGTTTTTATGTTCACTGCAACGCCCTGTCAGCTCTGCCTCCATCCACTGTTTTTTACTTTTATCACCTCACAGCTTTAAAATGTTATATTTCTTTTAACCCCAACAGGTCTGCCCGAGTCGCTGAGTGTCTATTTCACAGGTAAACACTTCATTCTCCTCTATTTAGTGAGAAGAAGAGGAGGAAACTCTTCTTCATCCTTCCATCCTTAGTCTCATTTTCCCTCCTCAGCGCCTTCTCTGACCTCAATCATCTCCCTTATATTTCTACCTGAAATATTGATCCTCTCGTTCCTCAATCTTCTCCTCTTTGTTCTCCTCGTTCCATCTTCACTTCCGTTGCGTTTTCTTTTTTCTTGTTTTGACGTTTTTTTCTCACTTAATTATCTCTTGTTGCTCCTCTTCCCTGACCTCAATGTATCCTGCTTTTTTCTCACTGTCGTCCTGTACTTCCTACCTTTGATTTCTTTCATTTTCTCTCCTCTCTTGATCTCTCCTTCTCTGTTTCCCCTTCCTTTCCTTTTAATCTTCACCATAAGGGTCCTTTTCTCTTTCCTCCCATTGGGCTTTTGTCTCATCTTCAGCCTCCCATCATTTTTTATCCTTGCGACGACGCTATTGCTCTCATCTTCTCCCATTCCCATTTTTCTCTTTTCAATTTTTCTTTACCTCTTCTTCTGTATTTCACCTCGGTCACTGTTGCACTGATCTCTCCAGCTTGTGATCTTCAGATCCTCTCAGATTTTTGGTTTGAAGTTCTTGACCTTTAACCTGAGAAGAAAACGTCTCCTCTGTTAACTGGACGTTTGATAAAAGTGCCTCTACACTCTGCACTCAATCCTCAACAGTATTCATTCGGGAAATGAGTCTTTCCCAAATGACAACACCAAAGTGCTTTTAGCTTTAGTATACGACCTGAGGCGTACACACACACACACACACACACACACACACACACACACACACACACACACACACACACACACACACACACTCACTCTATCCATCCTCCTTCACTTCTGACTAAGTAAAAGGTTTGTTTTGTTGGCAGCCAGTAAGAAGTGCAAGAACAGTTATCAACAGTCTGCTCTGTGGTGGCACTAAAGATACAAGTAGTCCCTCTGTGGTGCTTAACTTGAGTATTTAAAATGTCTGCAAGGTTATGTTTCTACAAATCTTAGAGGGAAAAATGGCGTCAAATAATTAGTTGATCAACAAGTACCTTTTAATTATTTTAAGTATATAAATTATCTATATCTTTTTTTTTTATTAAATACTGTTGGTTCACTATGGGCTCAGGGAAAATATGATGACGCATTTAAAAAATGTCTTGAATTTGAATCCGAGGTTACGCAATGCCTAGCCTATTGATAAGGCATTAATTTATTTCATATTTCATAAGAGCATTGTTTAAAGCACATGCATAGGCCTAAAGCTTCAATACGTTTAGTATTTGATTCAAGTTTTATATCAAAGTCAGTTCCACTAATTAAATGAATTAAACACAAACAAAAATAGATATGGTCTAACCCTTACTTGTTGATAAAGTTCAGTGACTTACCTTCTGGACAAAGATATCACTGAGTTTGCTAGCTAACGTGGAGGGAAAGCAATCGTCAGTTACATATTCTCTGACCCCCCCACCCCCTCCCTCAGTGAGGCAGATGTGTTCGCTACCTCCCCAGGTGCTTTTTCATTACTGTTTTATGACGAGACTGGCAAGACTATATATGTGTTATAGGTTACCTGGAATATAGAAGAGACGTCATGTCCTGACTGGTTAAAATACAGAGATTGTAACAGGCAGCAGGTTATTGCCAGCGCTCCATACAGTTTCAATCAGGCATGATAATTGCAGTGGCTCTACGCTAATTTGGCTAATTTATTATAGAAAATGATTGGAGTCACGCAGAAATGGCATGTATGACACAGATCAATGGAGAAATCTTGCATGAAAATTATTTTACTTTTTGTTACAGCCATATGTGACAGGTGACGCTCCCTATGCCCCCCCTGATCACATTTGCACAAAAATACTACTTATTTACTGTTTAGATCAGGAATGCGTATATTGATCTTTTGATATACTTATTTTGCAACAAAATAAGGAAGGAAAATGCTGTTTGCGTGTTTAAGTAGCAGTCGCTCTGTAAAAGGGCCCATTCATTGCAACGAGTAGTTTAAAACTCAATTGGAAGAGTATTGGAAGTATGTCGACACATCAAATTCTTAATTTCCCTTTTCAGACTAAACTATTTAATTGTTCACCAGGAAAACTTGCACAAACATTTGAAAAAATTGTTAATAAATAAAATCAGTTATACCAATTATCCACTATGTAAATCTCAAAGTAATACAGTACATTTTTATATCCGAATGTGATAATTGGTTTCAGTTAGCTGATGTTTGTTCTTGTTGAAGTGCCAAGTGGAGCCAATGGAGCAGAACAAAAAGCATTTAACAAGCTTCCACCTGAATCCCTGATCAATTGTTTCCGCAGTTTGGTTAATTGATTCGTATAAATGTTTAATTGAAGCCCCTGTTATCGTCTGTGTTTTCCTTTCGTTCCCAAATGAATAAACCTGTGTTAAGTGATTCAACTGGAACAAACTGATTAGTTTTTACCTCCCAGTTTTACTCATTCAGAATAATCCTCAGTAAAGCAGCTGTGGAGACCATTAATATCATGTGTGTGTGTGTGTGTGTGTTTCTCTCAGAAAGTCTTTGTTTATATGATTACTGATTTCCCTGTCTGTGTTTTCTCTGCCCCTGTTTACTGACTGTGTGTTGCAGTGTCTGACGGTGAACACACCACTCCTGAGTTGGACTTTGCCGTCCTGCTGCTGTCCAACCATCAGCAGCCGCCGGTGTTCCAGATCCTGGACCCGCTGCTGGAGGTCAGCCTGGGAGGAGAGGCCAACATAGGTAAGAGAAGAACACACACACAAACACACACACATAGTTGGGGGCCTAGGGGGGAAAAAAGGACCGTTTGGTTCAGATTCTCGCAAATTCTTCAAATTTGGCACAGATGTTGTCCATACCGTACTTAATCATTTTAAGATGGGTGCCAAGATTGGCGCCCCATGGTACTGCCATATTGCGCAATCCAATATGGCTGCCACCCGAAAAAAACAAAAAGGCCTAGAATCATAAATGATACCACTTTTTAGGGGTTTTCTGGGCCGTAAAATCTGATTCTGGTGTTATTTAAATGATTTGAGGTCAAGATTACCCCTCAAGGTCAAGTTTACTCATCAAAGTTAGTATATAAAGGTAATATCGGGGTAAAATTCAGTATTTCTGGTG